TAGAATTGTTTAAAAGGTTTGATCCCACGTCGAGTAAGTTTATTTCGAACTCCTTTTAACGTCAAGTCTTGTGTTTGTTTCCTTCTGGTGGTGGATAGCTATAATTCTATGATGATACAAATAACCAGTTGGTGCAAACCCAAATCCTTCTCACCTATGATGCCGCCTTCTCACTTCTGAGTTCTGAGAAGTGTGAATTGAGAACCATCTACTATACTCCTGGAGACGTGGCTTCCATGAGATGAAACTTTATAGTTTTTGGAAGGCTTCTTCTTCGAGAACTAGCAGAGAGCGCACAAGGTGGACAAGATGCTGATATTTGGGAACTAAATACTACCGGAGGACTAGATTTGATAAATTATCAAGATGGTCTAACCGGTGATGATGCAGAACTTGCTGAGCATGACATGGAATAAGTGTAGATTATTTTATGGCTTGAGTCTGAAGACTGAAATATGAATGTTGATCTAAGTAGTGGGTTTGAGAGCTGAAACTTGTGAGTAATCATTTGATGTTTTGTTCAAAGAGTTTATGATAAGGATTTTGGAATGTTGTTTGGAACAATGAATGTTTTGACGTTACTTAGCTTTAAAAAAATGACCAGTTGGTAGTACCAGGAAAGCAGTAAATTATGTTGTTCTTGGAATTTTAGGATTCATAGCACTTTGTAATGGATGGTGAAGTGTCTAAATACTTTTCCAAATTATATGTTTAAAAAGGTGAAGTCTAATACAAATGATCAGTTGGGAATGAACATATATTTGCCAACGTTTTATGTATATAATAATTGTCAAATTTCTTAGAAATATGTTGTCAGTATATCTATGAAATGCATGTGAAAGACATGACCTGCAGTGACTCCTACATAAGAAGACACGATCTCTTGAGTGGGTATATCAAGGGAGAGCTTAATATAGTCTACTGGAACTATAGGTTTATCAAAAGAATGAGTGATCAAATTCTGATTTTAATACATGCGGAGTATTTACTAATTTTAAGGAAATCAAGAAGTGCCCATCCATACATAAAAGTTGTAGAGATATGGAGTATATAATTAAAATCAGTAAGTTTAACCCAGATTAGATCCTCAGGGTCAAGCTGGTCACAAGCACCTAAACTAGCAGCTAAATATCATTAACAACGATGCATTTGTCTCAGTACTTCCATCAGTATGACTCAATTTTAACAGCTCAATGTCCTCTACTGAAACTAGCAGCTCATACAATACAGAATACTAACAAATCAAACAAGTTTAAGAGGAACCAGATTGGCATTACACAAAGTCGATTTATCTAGACAAAATTGGCATCCAAAACATTGCTATAGGCACCCCAAACTATTCCAAAACCAAGACTTAACAAGTACATATTATACATGCATTACATAGTATAAACATATAACAAAAAGCACACCTAAGGGTTTCACAAAGATCATTATTACTAAACCCCTAAAAAGGGCTAAATGGCTGCCCTAGAGCCTGCTGTATCAGGTGACGTTGTTGGTGCTTCAACTAGGCTTTTATATTTCTTTCTTGGAATGACAGACTCATTTTTTACTCTCCTTTTTCTCTTTGAAGCTGTCATCGATGGTTTGGTGGATTCCGGGTGTGTATCTGAGGCAGTGAGGCCTTTTGGAGCATTTTGCTTTATTATGTCCTGCCTCCTTACATATGGAACAAGTCATCACTCTTCCTTTTCTGAATATCGTTGTCTTTCCTTTTTTACACGATGGCTCTTCATTACCTTCACGGCTTCACTCTTCTATTTTATTGGGACTTCCAGGCAACTTTTCTGAAAAAATGGATAATACATTTTATGTTGTTTTGATGAAGTAAGGTATTTCATGTCCTTATCAGTCACTAAACATATATCAAGCAACAAAGGAGTTCCAGATTTTATAAGAAACTACATAAGTTCCACATATTCAACCCCCAAACATATAAATATGAATTCAAATTTAAACGCAAAATATGAGATAGTAAACCGCTTTTCACGTCAAGGATTACCCGTAAAATAAAGATGTATCATTTTTTTTCGAAATCACTCTACTAAACAAGACCAAAGAATTCAAATTTAAGATAGTAAAGTAATTTACTTGCCCAACACAGTAACCAGATTTGTCATCATAGCACAATTTGCATCTCATTTAAGAGCTGGAAAACAACTAAGGTACCGGATTTTGTGTGCTTGCAACAGATCATATAATAATAGCAATGATAAGGAGAAAATACCAGATCCATTTCTAGATACGAGATCGATCATCTTTGGTTTTTGTTGAACCTAATTCCTAACACATATTAGTATGATTAAAACAAGAAGGTAGGATTTCAAGTTCATAACTTCTGTCCATACACAAAGAAAAACAGCTTTTAGTGTACAAGTTACATTCAAAATTTCAGAAACTATTGTTAGCATTAAGAGATCATAAAGGACAACTTGGTCTTTGGTGATTAAATAATCCAAGTCATCAACAACTATTAATCTCATAATCCATTATTAACTAGGAAATACTACATAGAGTACAATTTTCACATGTTACAAGAATACAAAATAGAAAATAGTACAAAGATGTGTTAGCTTGCTGCTTCACAGAGAACAGTTTCTGAAGAAGCTGCATTGGTGTTGTCAAACCACTGAGATTTTTCTTAGGTTTCATCCTTTCAAAAGAGGAAAATAAAGATTCAATTAAATCAAGTTAAAATACCCAAATCAAACCATAATAAGGCTAAACAATTTATATAGATTCAAACAAATCAGATTTATAGATTCATATATAAAAAGACCATCTGAACTTATAATTTCCAGATAAGAAATATGGTGACAATTCAGTAGCTACATCTCCTTTTCTAGTAACATACAGAGTATATTTTTATAGCAAAATTACAGGGAAAAAAGTGCTTTGCTAGTCTGGTTGCGGCATCCTGGTAAGATTATAGATCTCTATATAGAGCTCCAACATCAAGCTATCAAATCATTGCACCCCTAATCCAGTCATCTCCTTGCTTTGCCGGATAAATACGCAATGCCAACTCCAGGTGAGGTAGAATTTGCACGACCTGTTTCACCTGCAGGTTGCTATACGGGCCACAAATATCATATGATTACTTCAATCCTTCAAACTCATTCCTTAAACCCTAATCCCTTAACAGTTAACAGAAACCACCACATTGTTCTTCTTCTCCCCTGATCTTTAACAACTCTATCGGCAAGAACTCTTGTTTCTCCTAGATAATTCACTCCTACTTCAACAACAACACAAGAAACTACTTTTGCATCCAAAATTTCTTCACCCATTTTTTATTCTTCCAATTGATCACTTTAATTTGCTCTTTGTTATTGCTTGTTTTAACAATGATAGGAACAAATGAAAAATATAACCTATTTGTCATAAGTAAGCACATTGGTCCCAAATATTGATTGTAAATGTTACCTCGGTCCTGCCGTAGAACAAAATTTACCGCCGGAGGAGTTTGTGCAGGAGTTCTGATTAAATTTCTAATCTAGATGAGAGCGAGATAGGAAGGACAAGTACTTGAGATGTGAAAAAGGCGTACATGAATTATCCATTGCATAGGGTTCGATATGCAATTTTTTTAAAGTTTTTAATGAAGTGGCTGACCTAGAATATATGTCCAGTAGAATTTGGCCACATGTATGATGCACCTAAGAGCATCATTAATGGGAGGATGTCAACATTAAAAAAATTGTGACACATGTCAATAGATTATTGGAATGTTTAGCCATGTAGGAAGCATGTCAAACCCACGTTTCAACATATGTTGTAGTGCTGCAAAATGTTCTCCAGTGCTAGGTTTAAGCTCTAACTGTTTTGTACAAGTGGCAAATTTCAAATTCAAATTAATAAATGAAAAACTAAATATGATTCAGATTTTCCTTTCAATAGACTTTCTGATAACGAGATTTCAGTTGATCAAGCTTTAGCTTTTGCCAACAATTCACGTACATAGCTATTTGCCTTTGTCTCGTAAGCAATTTCTTCTTGATTTTCCCTTGTTAATTTGTTAAAAATTTTATCAATTGAATATATAATTTGTCTATTGTTTTTATTGCGGAGATCACATGCATCCATGAAGCACTATTCCAGGCAAGTGCATTGAGGTTAATATATTTTAATAAACTAGTTAATTTTCTTGTACATGAAAAAGTAATAACATAAACATATGATTAATGTTGAAAAATATATATATACTTATGGTTAAATTCAAGTATTGAGATTTAATAACATCATTATTTTTATATCATTTAATACATAAATGTTTTATAAATGTTACCATAGTTCCTATTGTAATGAAAAATATGCAACCGTGAATTTTTTAATAAGGATGTTTTTCAATTCGATTGAATTTGTTTTAGTTTGATTTGGTCTGATCTGGTCCGATTTGTTTAAGTCTTGTCTGGCAGATGTCTGGTCTTCATTTATTATTTTTATTTTGATTTAGTCTGTTGATTTATTTACAATAATATATACTTTTTGTAAGCAGGTTAATTTTGACAATGATGAGGTGCAAACAGAGAGAGCACGTAGCTTGAAATCTATTTAATAGAAGAAGAAGAAGTAAGTTTAAAGTGGGAAATATGTGGAAATGGAAAAAATCTATGTACTTACCACATCAAATCCTTTGAAGAGAGCTATGCTGCCTTGAACATTCCTCCATCTACGAATCTTCACTTTGGGGAGAAAAGAAATGAGGTGGGAGTGGGAGTGTGGGGCACTGGGAGAGATAATTTGGGAGGTGGGAGGGAGAAGTTTTTTACGCGGGTAATTTTTTTAGGTCGGCGGGATAATTTTATGTGCCAAAATAGCTGACTCAGCATGTGAACGGCAGTGTTAAATCAAGACATTGATGTAAATAGTTTCAAAATAATTTTTTGACAAGTCAGCATTACAAGAAGGTTACATTGCTGCGTTGGAAAAGAGATTTTTACACCAATGTTTAAAGTGACTGACGTAGCCATAATTTTTACTGTCAACGTCTTCGGACTGGAGATGCTCTAAACGTTCCACAATGTGCATGCACGGAAGAGCTACCCAAAAAAGTATACATCCGGATGAGGGACAACCGGCAGTTAACCTTAACCCGCCGTGGCCTAATGCCACTTGTAGTTGCTACTTCGCTAGAGCAAGTGAGGACTAAGGGAGTGTTTACAAAAGAGTAAAAAAAACGTTTTTCAGCTTGTGACTTAAAAAAAGCTAAAATGAATGTTTTCAAGTTACGGTTTCTATTGAAATTAAGCACTTAAAAGTTTAATCTGGGAGCAGGTTGATGGGTTCTTTAATAGTGCTTTTAACTTTTTATATTACACAAAAAGTAATTATTTAATCCACTTTTACTTTTTCAAAATCACTTTTTTTCTCAAACATTATTAATTATTACTATTAAGCACTTTCTCTAAGATAACTTCAGAAAATCATTTTTTAATACAGAAGTAATCGCAAACAATTGCTAATTCAGTCCAAGTTTGACCGTTAAGCACTTCCCTCTAATTTTGACATAATAGAGAGTTTAGATGATTTCTCCATGTGCCTCTAAAATGCTTACAAGCCCGTTTGGTAGCATGAAAATCGGCTGATTTGAGTGATTCTGCTGAAATTTATAAAGTTATGGCTGAAATGGCTGCATTGGCCGACTCTGCTGATTTAAAAAAAATATATATATTTTAATAATAAAATAAAGAAAAAAATATATGTAAAAATAACTAAAATGGTCATCTACAACAGTTACTTCAGCCAATACAGCCAGAAAAGTAACTCTAACCTTACTTTTTCAGCTTATTACACAATTTAGCGCGTGAAAGCAAAAAATTACGTGTTTGGTAAAAAAATTGTCTGATAAGCCTGATAAGCAGCAAAAAAAGGTTGCCAAACGGCCTCTACATCTCATAATCTTGAATTTATAATCCAAACATCCCAAAAGTAGTGTAGTGTTTTGCCATTTGAACCCGCACGGGTAGCTCAGTTGGTTCAGTGGTGGGAAATTTGGACCAAGTGACCAAGGTTCGAAACCCGCAGCGGCCGTGTGAAGGTCACAGAACTTGAAATAAGGCTGGGCCTCTGGTGCGCACGGGAAAAAGGTCCACCATCATTGGACCGACTGAGTCACCGTGATTAACATCCTCCCAAAAATCTTGTCGGGTCGGGGTATGGGGGGCTCCTGGGTGGGAGATTCCGCCTTTTTGACCAAGTGTTTTGCCATATGAGGCTATAGATCTCAACAATACTTCTACCAATCTCTCGTCAGTTCAAACAGTAATCCCATTGGAGGAAAAAATTAATAAGGAACAAAATGTTTCAAAAAATTCGATCTTCATGTGATAAAAATGCGAAGAATGCGAGTGGCCGCATCAAGATGGGTTTGTTGCGGGGTGGCAAGAAACTGACTAGGCTGGCTGACTGAATATACGATGTCTGGTCGAGTGACAGTGAGATATAATAGGCGTCCTATTAATCTTCGATAGGAAGGAGCATCAACAAGTGGACTACCATCATCTGGACGTAGTTTTAAATTTTGTTCCATGGGAAATAAACTAGGTCGTCCCGCAAGAATGCCACATTCCTCCAAGATGTCACGAGTGTATTTCCGTTGACTTAAAACAAACCCTTCAGAGGAACGAGCGACCTCTATGCCAAGAAAGTATTTTAACTTCCCCAAATCCTTGATGCTAAATTTGTTATCCAAGTAAGCTTTGACGGTGTTAATATGAGAGATATTATTACCGGCCAAGATGACATCATCCACGTAAATAAGGGCAAAAGTGTTGATGATGTCGTGCTGAAATATGAATAGGGAGTGGTCTGCCTTACTCTGACGAAAATCAACTTTGACTAATGCATGTGTGAATTTGTGATACCAATTACGGGAAGCTTGGCAGAGTCCATATAGAGATTTCTGTAATTTGCACACGCGTGTATCACCTTTTCTGACAAAACCCTGAGGTAAACGCATGTATACATCCTCATCAAGGTCTCCGTGTAGGAACGCATTATTCACATCCAGTTGGTGAACGACCCAATTTTGTTTGGCGGCAACGGCCAACATACACCGTACTGTGACAAGCTTGGCGACTGGAGCAAAAGTCTCATGAAAATCAATTCCTTCAACCTGAGTAAAACCTTTAGCTACCAATCTGGCTTTGTAACGTTCTACGTCTCCATTGGGTTGATATTTAATTTTGTAAACCCATTTAGAATCAATTGCTTTTTTTTCCTGGTGGTAAGTGGACAAGTGTCCAAGTGTTATTTTCTCCATAAGGGATCTTGTACTGCATGGGAGAAATGTTTAGGCTCATCACGGGCAGTGATGGCCGCTAAGTACACTTTATGAGTTGGAGAAAATTTATCATAATTAATGAAATGTGAAATGGATATAGCGTAGAGTCAGCGTGATTGGCGGTGGGTCGTGACGGATGGAGGGTGGCAAGTCAGTATCATATTCCGCTAGACGTTTTGGAATTTTCCGTAGTCTTTCACTTCGTTTCGGCTGATTGTGAGATGCATTGGTTCCACTCAGAATTGGGATGGCAAGTGGCACATTTTCAGCAGTACGAGAAGGTTGAATAATTGGAGGCGTGTCACTCAAATGTGTTGGGGGGTATGAGTCAACTGGTAATCTGTCACAGATATTAATAGGCTGTACAGAAATATCAAAAACTGCATGTTCATTTTCAGGCTGGATGTGACTACCCGGAGTGTCTGTATCCAAGAGAGCAATATGCCGACTTAAGAGTGGGTCCGAGTCGATATTTTCAGATTGCTGCCGTCCAGATGAGTGATTGTGGAACTGTGATTGAACAAATTGAGGAGTCTCCTTTTCGCAAATCACATATGTAATTATGGGGCCAACATTTTTGGATGTTTGTGAGAGTGGCTCGCTGTTTTGAGAACGTAGTGCAGGAACCTGGCATGGGAAATTCGAGTGGGCGGCTTCAGAATTGATTTTTGTAATATTGCCGTAGACCTGATCAATTATGCCTCCAAAATCAAGTTCATCCTTGAGTTGAATTTTAAAAGGAAAAAAAATCTTCAAAAAAAGATACATCCCTGGAGTTGTATATGCAACGTTTCTGTAAATCAAAGACCCGGTAAGCCTTTTGCCCATTCGGGTAACCAAATTTGTCCTTTTGTTTATTGTTATGTGCGTATACTAAGCACCCAAATACGCGCAAATGATCATAATTTGGTGTATTTTTTAGTAACATCTCGTAAGGACTTTAATTGGAGATGATAGGAGAAGGAAGCCTATTAATAATATACACGGTGGTGAGAATACATTCTCCCCAAAAATTAATAGGCAGTCCAGACTGAAAGCGGAGAGCTCGAGCAACTTCTAAAATATGTCTGTGTTTGCGTTCAACAACACCATTTTGTTGTGGTGTGTCAGTGCAAGATGTCTCCAATAATATTCCATTTTGCCTATAGTAGTCAGACAATGCATTAGTCTGAAACTCGGCACCATTGTCAGCCCTTAATCGTTTAACCTTTTGTTCAAATTGTGTATTCACCATGTTGAAAAATTGAATCAAAATCAGGGGAACCTCAGACTTATTTTTAATTAGGTAGACCCAGACAGCTCGAGTGAAATCATCGAATATGGTCAAAAAATAACGTGCACCAGAAATTGACTCAATTTTATATCCTCCCCATATATCACAGTGTATTAATTCAAAACAATGTGTTGATTTAATAGCACTATTAGGGAAAGGTAAACGAGTCTGTTTAGCCCGTATGCATGAATCGCATAAATTATTGCTCCGTCCTAGTCCTCGGAGAAAAGAGATATGATGTAATTTGTTGTCTGATGCATGTCCCAAACGTTGATGCCATAAATCAAGATGAGGTGAGACCGACATTGCCACCCCACCATCTTTTGGTAAGTCTAAATAATATAGACCATCACGACATTGACCTACCCCAATCAGCTTCTTCGATGGTAATTCCTGCAAAATGCACAAATCATTAATAAATGTTATTTCACAATTTAAATCGCTTATGAGGCGATTTACAGAGAGTAGGTTGCAGTGGAACTTTGGTATGTATAAAACTCGTTGAAGATGGAATCCATTGGATAACCGCAAGCTACCCATAGCTTGAACCGATGTTGAATCGCCGTTTGGAATTTTCACAGATGGTATTGAAGTATGGGTTTGAACATCAATGAGATCATAATTGTTACGAGTGATGTGTTCACTTGCTCCCGAATCAATTATCCAAGGATGACCCTGTAGAAAAATACCTGCCATGTTTATTTGAACATCAGAAGAAGACGAGGACTGCCCTTGGTCCTGTAGTTCAGTTTTCATAAATTTTGCCAGCCTATGCAATTGATCTTGAGAGAGACCAATATCAGAATTGGTCTTGACATCCACATGGGCTGCTTTAGGAGGTGCCAGCCTACGTCCTTGATTATTCTCCCTGCGTGCTCCTTGTATCACGTTGTTACGTTGATATGGGGCCACTCCTCCACCAATCTTATTATCCTTATTTCTAAGGTTCCAATTGGGTGGGTAACCGATCCTCTCAAAGCAACTATCATACGTGTGATTAGTTCTTCCACAATGAGTACAAGATCTGCCTTCCTTTATGCTTGAGCGGCGATCGATGATGGTGTCCCTTTTTGGATGTGTGTAAAATGTCGTGCCATCAACTCCTGGTTTGCGGTTGGATGCAATAGATCGGTGGTGCTCACTTTCCGAAATAAGATGATATGAAGCAGTGAGTGTAGGAACCGGCCTTGTGGCCAAGATTTAAGATTTCAAGTTTCCGTAAACGTCGTCAAGACCCATCAAAAAATCATAAAGATGGTCCCTATCACGGGACTCAGTTACCTGCTTAGAGATGTTACAGGAATACCCACCACAAGCACAATTGGGTTGAACATTGATAGAGGACATTTCATCCCATATGCGGCGTAGTTGGCTAAAGTAGGCAGAAATGGACTGCCCATTTTGTCTGATTGAACCAAGGGAACATCGAAGCTCATAAGCTCGTGGAGCACTCTCTTTCTCGAATCTCTCTTTCAAATCAATCCAAATTTCGCGTGCCGTTTTGAACTTCACACTTTGTCTAAGTTCAATTTCCATGCTACTATTCAACCACGCCTTAACCATGGCATTCGCTCGTTGCCAATATGGGAGGTATGGTGAATCAAACTTGGGCATCGGAATATCACCATTCACGAAGCCGAACTTGTTTTTTGCATAAAGCGCATTGCTCATCTCATCGAGCCAATCTCCATAGTTTCCATCTCGAAGGGTTGTGGTAAGAACGTACACATCTCCGGGTTTATCTCCGGAGTGAATGAAATAAGGTGACATAACATCTATGACTATATCTTCGGGTTTATTGGCAATGGTTTTGGTCTCATCATCGACCGCCATGGCTTTATGAAAAGAAATTGTGGGAGATAGATACAAGAGTGGATTTTATTTTCTGGATTTAGTCTCTGATACCATGATAAAAATGATATGAACTCATAAGAAATTAATAATAATAGTTGTGCTAGAAATGAGAATGTTTTGCGGAGAGTTGTATGCTGCTATCTGTTATCTTTGATATTGAGCAGATATGCTATATTTATATCAACCATTCTTGATGTACACACCATTGTACACACCTTATACACACCATGTTTGTGAAACTTTTTTTTGTTTGTGAATCCGGTTCACAGACAATATTTTGTTTGTGCAAAACATTGTCTGTGAATCAATGTTCACAGACAAAAAAAAACTTTCACAGACATAGGTGTGTACAAAAGTGTGTATAAGAGTGTGTACAAATATCATTTTTGTATTTATATTACAAGGATGGTGAAGTGGTCGTATTCTAGTTGGCAGGAGAGAGAAATTGGATTTGCATGTACCATGCAAATTAACCCTCCGTAAAAGACACAACTACATTATTACAAATTGGGAAAAGTAATCATTTACAAATTGGCTAATTTAAGCACAGTACTCTCACGAATCTCAATATCATGGTTTGGTGCCATAACGCCATTACTTGTTTTGCCAACCCATTTAGCGATGATAATCTTATCGATCAACAACACCCTGAGACTGCAATCGATGTTAAGAGCTCCAAATAATCAAGAAGCCGCGTACGGGAATTCCAAAAAGTTTCAATTTTTCAAAATCTGACGATTCAGTGTTCGAAGCCATTTGAGCTTCTCCGGTGTGCAAGTCAAATACTTGTTGCAGTGGACGAGTGGATCAATATATATTTTCCTGGAAAACATTGATATGCTACGTCTAGTCCCCTGAATCCTTTTCTTTTATGCAAAAGACCGTTAAGCAGAAGAAGTTGAGTGTGTGAAGAGCACATGGCGGCGGTAAAGGAAGAGCCGGTAGTAGTACCCCTGAAGCTTTTGGTCAGAGGCGGCTTGAGCATTTTGGAGGCCCCAACGAAAAATATTTACTATGTACAAACCACTTTTAAAATCAGATAAATTGAATAAAAACCGCCTTATGAAAAAAAGAATATTCAAAGTCCACGATATAATGTTTGTAATATTCAAAAGGATAAATTTTAAAATGCAAATTTATTCAAAACACAAGGCAAACTTGTACTTGTAAAAGTATTAAGAGACTTCAAGAACGAGACTCAGAGAGAAGAGCTGAAGAGTCTTAGTTGATTCACTAACCAAGGACTCATGTCGACGGTGGGCAGTGAGGCATATATACAGTAGCCGATTAGCGGTCTGTGTTGGACGTTGATGCGTGTTGAGATTGGCTTTTGATAGTTTTTTCCTAACTTTAAGGTGTCATAAGTCTCAATTTTAAGCTCAAGTCATATTTTACCGGCCGTTGGTTCGAGTTTTGGTATTTTTGGAGTCAATATCAGGAAATTTGAGTCTGGCACCGGTGTTTGAGAAACAATAGGGACGAGTTGAGAATCATTTTAGATTTGATTAGGAGCATTGGAGATCAGTGAGGTGTTAAAGACAAAGTTTTGAAGACAAAAGAGCTCTAGAATTGGCTACGGGGTCAAAAGAAGACGAATAGAGCTTGAAAACAACGGTCAGGATGATGTTCTGTCAATCGTTCAAGCATATATATTTTCTTAGGAACATACAAAAAACACGATTCAAGTTTCATATGAAAGCCAACTTCAAGGGCTAAAAATCATATGAAGACACCATTGTGAGAATCTGAGAGAAGCAAGGTGAAAACAGATGATGAAGTCAGACAATCTCTGTTGAGATTTCAGAATGCGACCTTCCACCATTTTATTCATATATTTTTATTGGATGATTCAAATCCAATTTTGCAAGTTGTGTTGGATAGAAGACTTCATTATCTACAACTTTGATGAAGGACGGATAGTCAAAAGTGAACTATAAAGCTGATTTCTTCTTGCATTTGCCACTTGGTGTATTGACGGTCTGCGAATAACACCTAATACTAATACCGGAGTAGAATTTTTTGGAGGCCCCCTTGGTAGTTGAGGCCCAAGGCAGTTGCCTGGGCCAACTGCCCTCAAAGCCGCCCCTGCTTTTGGTAGATGAGAAGAAGAAACGAGTATTGGCTGCGGAAGCAAACAAGGACTTCTTACATATAGGGGTGTTTGGATCTCATTCTTAAAACTGCTTGAAATTGGGAATTTCTTTCCGTCAGACTGAAGAACAATGTGTCACCCTCGGTATGAAAGAGGTTATTAATAAAGCACTGCTCAAACCGAGTTACATTTCTATTAATTATAATGCTTTCAATGCGTTTATATAAGTATGAACTTTTTTTAACAAGCGATGAGCTTACTGAAGGCTACTCTGACATCAACATCATCTGCTCTTACAAAGGGATTAGGCCCCTTCTTGCAGAAGCACAGCCCTTAGCCCCACCATCTACATACGTCCCAACAAAAATCTCAGGGAGAACTTCAAGCTGTCTAACTAAAGCTGCGAAAGTTCAGTTATATTTATCCAGTTTTTTCATTATCTCAACTCTCAAGAATGCTATTCAAGTTTATCTTTGTTCTGGGTATAGTTCTGTACTTTATACCCAACTTTGTTTTGGATTCCTATTATCCTCTATTTAAAGTGCATTTAGTTTCTTCAGTATTGTCCATTTGTCCTCCTTTATTCTAAAAAAATAATGGCCTCAAATATGGAAATCAATCACCAATATAATTTCTCAATTTAATGCATTTTTAAATTTTATGTTTAGCAGAGGGTGTGATGCAACTTATACAAACATTTTATTTTGACTTGGACAGTGTGGCTCATTACTGACCAATCTTGAATTCTATACCTTTGTTATTAAGGGTTACCGTGAATTTATATTGCTAGTTCAAGTGAGCTTACCTAATTTTGATGTCATATTGAGATTTGAAATTTCATATTAAATGGAAGAACTTGCAATATGCAAATTCGCTTTTTATATGTCCGATGTGATAACCCATTTATCATTTTTTAGATAAAATGTAGTCAAACTGGATTTATGCCTTCATTATCATGGAATACACAAGAGTTTGTTCATTTTCTCCATACATAATACGAGCATATGACATCATTTATTTGACAAACTAAAGGTGGATGTCTACTACTGCAAATTTTATTTCTCCATACCATGAAAATGTTAGCCAGCTTGAATATTTTTAATGTCGCTTTTCATGCCTCTGGCAGAAAGATTTAAACCTTTCAATACCATCCTCTAGAGCAGATGGTTCTATGGCAAAACAGAACCTAAGCCAATTCTTCACTCCAACTACAACCCCTGCATAAACAAATGCATTTTACTCAAACTGTACTCCAGTTAATAGAAAGGAGGCCATTCTTTTTTTGTTTTCTTTACCAGGGACAAGTATAACAGACTCTTCTTTTGCTAGCTTGAAGCAGAAATCCACATCGTCATCAATGTCTTCCAGTGTTGAAGTGTTCAACTGAACCTGCCATCACCGTTGTCCACAAACCATAATGATCACCTTTTCTCTAGTGTTAGGGAGCATGAAATACTAAACAATCAAACCAAATATGAAAACAAAACATGTTATGTCTTTCCCCGGCTATATATAGTTTTCTCAAATCGGTCAGATATGAAGATACAAATTCCTGACTTTGGACTATTTCTCTTGTTAACGTAACTTTTTAGAAAATAATCATTTTGGTATAACAGCAAAATTTACTACATAGGTGTCTGGCAGATATCATTGAGACTTGCTGTGATCTTAATGGAATAAGGCAGAATCTAATTAGGAAAAAAAACATAACAAGCGAATGACATCTTAAGTCCTGACACACACATGGGGATCAATTGGGGCTACACCCATGATTTTAGAACACTATTCTCACCATTATAAAAACAGCTCCTTCGGGTTTCTGTGGGCAAGTAATGCAAGGAATTTCTTTCATTCTCTCAAACAAAAAGTCCGCCCCTTGCCTAAGTAAATGTAGGCAATTGGAAAAGAATTCTTCTTCTGTCTCCAGAAGAATTTTAGGAAGTGCTGCCTGTCATTTTAAACAGATTCAGTATAGCTGGTGAAAGTTAGGCTTCATTGATGTCAGAACTAAGTAATTACTACCTGAATAAATGTTGCGGGATCTGAGTAAAGACTGAGACATGCCATAATTTGTTCTGTGATCTGGGATCAATATGGAAATATATGAATATGATTATTCAGTTTTACCGGTTGTAGAAGGAATCTTTTAAACCTTCATGAGTTGTAATTGGAGTGGTAAACTGAGGTTAATAAAGAGTAGGGAAAAAGGAGAACCCCCGAATTTTTAAGAGCACCAGTAGGATCACAGATCACTAGCCAACCCATTCGCCAAGCTGGAACAGCCCATCTCTTAGATAAAGAGCCAAGTGTGATCACAGGCACAATTGATCCAAAAGTTGCCATCCGTATGAATGGATTATCCCCGAAAGTGAGGTGTTCATAAACTTCATCAGAAATCACCGGAATCCCTAGCTTTTTCGCCAACTCAGCTACCTGATGTTTCATCAACAAAACCAGGAATGATTGTCATTGTTTTTATTTATTGGATAAGAAGCATCCATTAGTATACTGCAAACTCTTTGACTTTTCTTAAGACCAAAAGACCTCATTCTAGCAGAGTTAAGTTGACACTTAAACATAAGATGATTTTCCTTTAGTTTTCCAATGTGGACTTGGATTGCACCCCAACAGACTTGTTTGGCAAATAAGACTAAACCGGATGAACTTTGCCTAATGAGGCCTACTTCGGCGTTGTGGTTGCGCTGTTGCAGTATTAGAAGTGAATTTTTAGATTTGTTTTTTCCATCATTTGCGATGGAGGCAAAAACTCATTATTTTTTGACTTGGAAATATGATGGAATAAAGCAAAATGACTCACTAAACTGTTTGTGCAACTTTGTTATGAAGCACCATAGGTGGAAGCCTTTGCCACTGGGGTAATGATGATGATGAGTGACAAGATGTGTTTTAGAGTCATAAGCATTCAAAAATGATGCTTACAAGTACTGTATAAATGGTAATATTATCATGTGCTGTATTTCGCGTTATAGTGGCTTAGCATTTCTAATCAACCTTCCCTAGGAGGAAATAAAAAATCTACAGCAAACACAAAGCCATATGATCTCTTAGCTCATCCCCTAATGAGTGTTACCTTCTTGAGATGTTCATAGGAGAAAACAACCCCACAAGGGCTTCCAGGGTTGATGACAACAATAGCAACAGTATTGTCATCAGCAAGAGCTTCAATGGCATCAAGATCCATTTCCCATCCCTTGTCGGGAAGAAGATCAAAATGGCGAAACTCAAGACTGCTGAAAGAGCAGCGAGCCTCAAAGGTTGGGAAACCTGGTTTAGGAAGCAAGATGTTAGCTCCCGGAGTAGCAAGAACTGTCACTATGACTTCTATTGCCTGTGTGCATCCCAATGTCATATATGCATCATCAGGTGAAAGCTGGTAAGGAAGGTCCCTTGAGAGATATTCAGCAACGGCCCTGTGTATCAAATTAGAAAAATTATTAGTGTACATGAGTTGTAATGTTTTTACCTGTGTGGTCTGGTTTGTACTCGTCTAGTCTGATTTCTTTGTATTTTTATAACTATCCAAGTCTGGTCTGGTCTGGTCTGAATTAGTCTGGTCTGGTCTGAATTGGTCTGGTCTGGTCTGATCTGGTCTGGTCTGGGACGAATTACAGTCCAAGTAAAAACATCCAAAGTGTACACAAAAACTCAGGCAATTCGTTTAAAAAGGGGCAGAATTTGATGTCAAAAACCCTCCTAATTGCTTGTGTACACAAGCGATATACACATTTTGTGTAGATTTTGTGTACACCAAGAATGACCCTCAAATTATAGGTTTGCTTTTCTTTGTTGTTATGGATTACGCACTTCAAAATGTGTTCAATTTTTTAGTTTTATAAATAAATAAAGATATAATTACATATTTATGATTAAATTGAAAATTGTTTACAAAAATGTGATTGATGACTAGATTAGGAGAACATTTTTTATAAAGAATTGATTAATTATTTTGCTTTGAAGACTGCTACGAGGACAATCCTATTCTAGTGAAAGCCCATCAACTTTGTAATATTGTTATCAGATTATTTTACTTGTGTACTTTAAACATTATAAAATTTATACTTCATTGAACTATCTAATCTATTTGTATTTCTTGTTTTACAGGGTCTCAATTCACCATTTAGAATGTCTCTAAAATCTATTAGATGACCTTGATTCGTTCAACAACAAAATATCACAAATAAAATTAAAAATATGAAGTAATCGATGAATAAAGTGCATAATATTGTTCCACCAATTCTACACATATTTGGTAACACTAAAATTGGCTGAATCGGCTGATTCTGCTTAAATTTATGAAGTTCTTGTTGAACAAGTTGGATTGGTTGATACTGTTGATTTATGAAAAAATTATATTTAAAATATTTTTTATTCATAAACTAAAGAAAAATTATACGAAAAAATAGCTAAAATAATCCTCTATAATAAATTCAACCAATACAACCAGAAAAGTAACTTCAACCTTACTTTTTCTTATTATCACAGAATTCAGCGCGTGAAATAAAAAATTACGTGTTTGATAAAAAGTTAGTTGATAAGTCTGATAAGTCGAAAAACAAGATATCCAAACGGACTCTTGGTCTTGTACACATCAAAAAGGCCTGGGTTTTCATGAACAAGAATTACGAAATGACTCTATTGGATCTATAACACTTAGGGATTTGATTAAGCAGTGAAAAGTAAAAAGCTTTTAATTCAGGCTATGTTTGGCACATGTATATGAAAATATACTTTTATGAGTTTTTTAGTAACTATTAGCTGTTTGAAAAAAAGTTGACTGTTTAATTTAGTTTTGTTTGTCATACAAGCTGTTGAGAGTAATTAAAGCTAAAAGCTACAAACTTTTGTCATATGCTACTCATTGTAGCATCTCAAAAAAGATTTTTTATTTTTTTAAAAGCTCTTAAAATTGTTACGCCAAACATTTAATTAGAAGATTTTAGAACTTTTTAAATAGTACAAAGTGACTATAGGTAGTGACGGACCTAGTCCGTGACTAAAGTGTTCCGGCCAACCCATTTTCGCCTCCGGCGGGATTTTTTTTAAATTTGAAATTAGTCACGGACAAGTCCGTACATCCTACACCAAATCTCAATAACTTTGTTTTTCGACAAAAAAATTCAAATTAAGATTAAAATATATACCAAATCTTTTTGACAAAGAAATCAACACGAAGTAGGGATGGACTCGGTTCGGGCCGGGCCCGGTTCAGGCCTTGAACCGGCCGGGCCTCGGTTCAAGGTATGGGAGGCCCGGAACCGGTCCGGTTAACCAACGGGTCCGGGCCGGGCCGGGCCGGGCCTCGGTTATATTTTTTTTTTGGGCTTTTCCTAGTTAACTTCCAACTCTCCCCCTCACCCCAAACCAACCCTAACCACCTCAAATGGCCCAAAATACTCAGCCCAACCCAAAAACTTAAAAAAAATTCAAAAAAATAAAATAAAATAAAATTGGCCGGGCCCAGGCCTGAACCGTCCGGGCTGGTTCACCTTTTGAAGGGCCCGATCCCAAACCGAGATCCCACCGGGCCAGGTGGCCCGAACCGGCTAACCAACCGGTTCACCGGGCCGGTCCGGGCCCGCACAGTTGCGGGCCAGTCCGGTTCCGGCCCGGTTGGCCCGACCCGAGTCCACCCCTAACACGAAGTCGTGATACAAATTCTTGCTATGATAATTCCAGGTCGAACCCATTTTTTGTATGGGAATGCAATTCGATCGATATGTAAACACGATATTAAAATGTAGTTGTGTGGAATGTTAGAGCAGAAAATCTGAATCTTTATATTATATAAAACAATTGAGTGGCCAATTGATTTTTCAATTTTCCCCCCTGAAGCAATTGCGGTGCTCAATTGATTTTACAATTTTGCAATTGAGTTATTTGGCCATCGAGGCACACAATTAATTCAATTAAAAGATATTTTAAATTATCGAGATGACACCAATTTTTGATTCGAAGAAAATGACACACATAATAATTGATTTTGCAATTTTGTAATGGAGTTGTCTGGCCCATCCAGACACACACTTAAAAGTCATTTACTATTCATACGACCATATATAGTATTTCCGTTCTTAAATAATTGTAACATTAGAAATTTTACAATTTTTACGTGCTCTACTATTACTATGTTTTATTTTATTAATGTACTAATAATTTATTTTTAAAAAATATCCTGTATAATTAAATTCCTCTCATTCTAAATTTTCAAAAGGTGATTTTTGTGGTTTAATAAGTTTTTTAGATAAAGTAAGAAATTGTAATGTTTTCATAAGGTGCTCTACTATTACTATGTTTTGTTTTATTAATGTATTAATAATTTATTTTTAAAAAATACATTGTATAATTATATTCTCCTCATTTTAATTTTTCAAAAGGTGATTTTTGTGGTTTAATCTATTTTTTTTAGATAAAGTAAGAAATTGTAATGTTTTTTTTTGCATAACATGATCATTGATCGATTTAATAACACTTCAAGTATGAAATAAATTTGTAACAAAATAATCAATCAATATTTTTTATCTCATTAATGTATATTGAGTATTCATGTGCAATGCACGGATTCATCGTCTAGTTGAACTTTATTTTGATGTAGTTGTAATATTATATTTCAAATTAGCAAATTTATTTTGCAATGTGTAAGTTGGACAAGACACTGATCGTGGACTAAAATATGAAGCATTACTTATTAAAGTCCAAAACATAACTACAATTCTGATAAGAAATCAGAAATGGTGTACCACTAATAGTGGGCTTAGCCCAATTGTATTAGTCACATTTATTTTATTATACATTGATCTACCGGTGCTCCTTAGAAGGTAAAAGTCTTGTCCTGAGACCCCACAACGAAATGGGGTCTTATTTTATTATATATTGATCTATCGTCATCTTCTGGAATTAACTAGGACTATGCTTTTGAAGCATATATTCCTAGTTATTTTTGGGTTGATGCTATTTTTACGACTGCATATATTATTAATCGTTTACCCTCTCCTAATCTTCTTGGCTTATCTCCATATGAAAACTCTTTCACAAAATTCCTGATTATTCTTTTTTGCGTATGTTTGATTGTGCTTGTTTTTCCAATATTTCAGCTTCTTCTAATAAACTTTCTCCACGCTCAGGTCTGTGTGTTTTCTTGGCTATGCATCTGGATATAAGGGTTTGTCTTGAGCCTAATCCGGTAGAGTCAATATTAGTCGTCATGTTCGTTTCCATGAAACTAGTTTTCCGTTTTCCACTTTAGGTTCTCATTCCTCCACTGATATTCCTTCTATTGCTCTCATTGTACACTACCCAACACTACTCAATCACCCTCACCCGCTGCCCATAAGTTTCCCCCTTCATGCCACATTTCCCCATCATTTCCTCACCCCAGCTGTTTGGTCCAGCTCCCTCCCTTCCACCGGCTGCTGCTACAAACCCCAGCCAGCAGTCTGTTACCTTTCCCATGCTTTCTTCCTTATATCCCTCACCTCCAGCTAATGACCCAATACCCCCAGATTCTGCCCATGTCCCAACCAGTTCAGTACCTTCCCCCGCTAGCTCGCCCCAGCTACTAGCATGCCCTCATCCACACCTACTACTTTGACAAGTCCTCCCCCTACCCTTTCATCCGTGACCCAGCTACCCAACCAACATATAGCCTCTGTCCAGTCCTCCACTTTAGGATCATCGCTTAATATTCATCCTATGCAGATCAGGGTCAAGTCTGGAATTTTTAAACCAAAATCAATTTTTAGTTTAAACATAGTTGTTAGTTTTACTGATTCTACGTGTTTTACAGAGACTAATAAACATTTAAAATGACGTGAGGCTATTGCTGATGAGTTTAATGCTCTTATCTCTAATAATACTTGGGATTTAGTTCCATTTGATAACACTAAAAATGTGGTTGGCTCCAAGTGGATTTACAAAACTAAATATCACTCACATGGTTCCATTGAGCGCCATAAAGCACATTTAGTTGTTCAGGGTTTTAATCAGCAAGCTGGTGTTGATTTTTCTGACACCTTTAGTCCTGTTGTCAAACCCACCACAGTTCGTCTTGTTCTCACTATTGCTATTTCTTTTGGGTGAATTATGCGTCAGTTGGATGTTAAAAATGCGTTTCTGCATGGTCATTTAACAGAGGAGGTTTATATGCGTTAGCCGCAGGGTTTTACTCATCGCCAATTTCCTAATCATTTGTGTCGCTTGCGCAAGGCTATACATGACCTCAAGCAGGTCCCGCGGGCTTGTTTTCATCGGTTCAAAAGTTTTTTGCTTACTCATAATTTTATGTGCAGTAAATCTGATCATTCCTTGTTTATTTATCGCTGGGATAATTCTATAATTTATTTAATAGGGAAAAGTACGGAAAAGGTACTTGTGGTTGAGCCCATTTTCAGATAGGGTCATGTGTTTCATTCTTTATCAAAGTGGTTCATGTGTTTGAATTCTGTTATCACAAGAGGGTCACACCGTTAAAAACTTCTGAAAAAGACCGTTAAAAGTAACTCCGATTTTCAAAAGTGCCCGAAAAATTAAAAGAAAAATATCGGAAGGTGCGCCTCAATAAGACGACCGCTAGGCGATCTTTCGTTTTTGTTTTTAGCCACCCTTGTCACTGGAAAGTCCATCAGAAAAGTGATATTATCGAAATCATTTTTTAAAAATAATTCAAATAGATCTGAAAAATCCAAAGGCGAAAGTGGTTTGGAGGTCATCTTGACGAGGCACACCTTTTAGTATTTTTCTTTTAATTTTTCGGGCACTTTTGAAAATCATAGTTACTTTTAACGGTCTTTTTCAGACGTTTTTAACGGCGTGACCCTCT